GCAGGAACACTCACGTGATTTGACACGAAGATCTGCACCGGCCCAGCCTCGGCAAAAAAACCCATCTGCAGACCACCAGAAATGCAAATTTTAATCATTATAACGGATGCGGAAAAATCAATTTACCAACTTTAAACATAATTAAGTGCCAATATTTTGGGCAAGCGAAGTGACCTTATTAACCATAGTGACTACGGCTTCCAGGATCTCTCCCTTGAAGGGCCGAAAAACCACGCACTGGTACTTCACAGGGAAAGTGACAAAGCCCGTGCCCTCACGGATCAAACCCTTTCCAATGTCCTCAACGCTTGTTATTGCCACAACGAACCCATGCCTTCCGCTGCATCAAAGGAGGGTTTTAGATAGATTAGGGTTTTGGAGCATTAGGATCGAGCAAACGTGATGTAGTGAGTGGGAAAAACCTGCAAGTACCCTCGACGTCCTTCATGAGCTTGGCGACGAGCTTCTCGCGAAGATGAGGGCCGAAGTGTCGAGGGTGGAGCTGCATATTCCTCTCCAACGAAATGTGAAAGAACATATTTACCCAACTCAAGATTGAAAACCTGTCAGAATCGTTTTCTAAATTGATTTATGCAATGGTTTCCTGGTCGCTACGCGCCTCCTTGCAGATCAAACATGAACCCTAGGGCTGTTTGATAGCAGGGTTTGAGTAGGATTTAACTTAAATCATGCGGAATTTTAAACCCAATTTCTCTCCCGACGCTACCTCAATAAATCTCCGACTTATTAAAAGTTCGAATTTTATGAACTCCTCTTCCTCTTCATCGTCTGGGTTTTCAGAATTTGGCTTACGAAGAATATGAGAGGTGTTAAAAATTGGGCTTGACTAAAAAATTGGGGTTCAGATTTGTCTGAATATTTTTCAGGCCGGGTTAGGGTCAATTCGATTTATTTATTATTAGGATCAGATACAGATTAAACCCGAAAATACAAACAAGGCCCGAATAATAATGAAATTTCTAGTAAATTTCGGGTCTTATTTCTCGACCCATTTATTATTTGGGCCGGATTCTGATTGAATATTAGGATTGACTATTTTCAGGTCGGATCCAAACCTGACTCGCTTACTTAAGGGTCTGTTTGGGGCAGCTGCAGCTTATTC